AACTTAAAAGACATGGAAAGCACATAGGAAAACCAACCAGGAAACCCCAAAATACGAAGCCAACAACACGAAAATCACATTGGGGCATAGAGTTCTTTTAGCAACAAGGCTCGCAAAGACAAAGAACCAAGAGTAACCCAAAAAGGATGGACAGCACCTGACGCACAAAGAGCACAGAAGAGAGGGAAACAAAGCAAACCACTAGTGAACGTGGCCATTTAGAAGGACCGCGCCCGCTCGCTTCTCGCTTTCCGTTGCTTGCCGGACTGGTTTGCAGACAGGATCGCATGCAAGTCCTTGCTAGCCACGTCCTGCTGGAAAACCGCACTGAACTGAACTAGCTTAACAAGGGTTGGCCTGGCCTGACAACCAAATAACTGCCAGAACTCTCTTCAAGAATCCTTGCCTGGTGCGCTTGTGGTTTCCTGGATGCATTTGGATTCTAGACTCCGAGCTGACTCCAGTTTGCATGGTTGCTATCTTGCATGCATACTTGCTTGCATGCGTGCAGGCTTAGCTTCACCAAAGGCTTTGTTTTGGAATGGCTGCTTGAAGGGGTGTGAGCTTTCTTGGACCAGGACCGTTGGTGGCCTTTTGTACGTGCTTGCTGATCTGTTTGCATTTGGTGGTTGGTTTCTTTGGTTTTGATCCCAGCACCATGGAAATATGAGGGTGCTGGCAAGAAAGTGTCCTCCTTTGCCGCGAAAAGCTTATTTGGAGGGTACTCGGAAGTGCTCCGCCTAGGCCGAAACCTTTCTAGGGTAGGAGCTGGCACCTGGGATAGATAGTTCTCCATGCTGCGCACCAGTTCGCAACAATGCATTTACAATGCATCCAGTATGACACTTGTCCTGTCCCGCCAAGCAACATTGACGTGGCTGCCCCTCCCCCTCAACCCGCAGTAGGTGGATGTCGGGCTTCTGGCACGGATTGAAACCTAAATGTTTATATAAAGTGCTTTAAGGTTTACAGAATTGCTAAGGTTGCTTGTTTGTCGTGGTTCGGTAGATTGGTTGCGAACCCAAGTAATATTGATGCACATGAAAGCGATTTTTGCTACATCACGCGTTTCCTTTTCGAAGTGTTGGAGTGAGTGTAAAGACTGCTGGCTTTCCTGTGAATGCACTGAATGCACTGAGGAATTCTACCTCTTGTCACCACCAGGATTGGAGGAACTGATCTTTGGCCGCATTGCCTGACATGTATGGGGCACCACTACTTCTATTTGCTGATCCACTTGGTGAACAATTTTGAGGTGTGAATCTCCGTCCCCACCGGGCTGTTTGGATCTTAAAGAATGGATGAAGAGCATCAGAATGAACTCTGAACAATTGCAGCAAAATTGCTTGTCAACACAATATCATGATATCGAATCACGTCTATATGTCTGTGAGAATCCGCCAATCAGTGATCAATGCAACTGAGTGTGCAAATGTCTTGCTTGACTTGATGTTTGAGTTGCCGAGCTTATTATTGTTGAGGCAACCCATTGCCGCTGGGGGGTCTTTTACTGCAGACCCCGCCACATAGACGGATTGAATCGAAGCTTGGCAGGATGCAAATTTGAAGTTTAATGGAGTTTATGTAAGTCTGTCTGCTGTAATAACAGATGTGCATCCAATGAGCTGGAACTCGAACACAAAGAATGAGGTCTGAAACGTCTCCAATGCCGACCCCTTACACACCAGTTAGGCCAGGAGAAACTTTGAAGCATTGGATAAATCACATGAACAAAGAATCACCCTTTGCAGCACCATAGCAAAGCGCATTTTTGTCAGGCCCGCACCTGGACTGGACAATGTGTCGCTTGGCAGCAATGATGGAGGGCTTTCCATTCTTGATGGATTGAGGATTGTAGTTTAAAATGTTTATGTTCATGTTTTTGTGGGTTGGTGATTCACATCCGTTGTGTGTATCAGTATTTGTATGTATGTGTTATGATTCACAAATTTTGCTTTTTGATCAAGGCCCACACCGACAAAGGTGCCTAAAAGCCAAGCTCTCAGTTGAACATTTTTAGGCAGGTCCAGTGGTTCAACTGTTGTTTCGGTCATTTGTTTCTTTAGCTGTCTTTTCTTTTCTCCTTTTCCTTTGAGAGACTTAAAGATGTGTAGCTTCTAGATATGGTTTAGTTGGCTCAGGCGGAGCTTTGGGTGAGAGGAAAGCATGGAACGACGGAGGCTTGCTAAATTGAGGGGCGAGGTTCTCCATTGTTCTAGATCATTTCAGGTCACAGCACAGAGCCCTCGGTGCAGAAGTTTTTGTCATTGAAAGGGTTCTTTGTGGCTTGATACGATAGAGGAATCACAAGAAGTAGGCCAAGTAGGCCTTATGGATGATGTGCTTGTAGCGGTAATCGCACATACACTTTCGCACAGTTGTGCAAGACAAAGATCACCTTCTCAGGCTCGTGCTGTGACAGCATTCTATTGCGCAACCTGTCTAAGACTCTAAGATCAGTCAGTTCTGGTTGCAGGACTCCGGACGGAAAGATGATCAGCAGCTTTGCAGACGAGGCTAGGATGTCATGAAAGGTGAATTATCAACCGAAAGTGAAGCGGATTCGCAGAATTTCACAGATGCAACTAAAGAACCTCCAAATCTCAGCTGCTTTGAGGACAAGCCGGTCCCAGGCAACTCACTTGAGCCACAGACAGGTGCAGGATGTCATGAGATGTGTATTTCAACCCATATTCACAGAGCATGGTTTTCTGCTTCCGTTCAGAGCATGTCCTTGAGTGTGCTGTCAGCTTGGCATGAGGAAACATCGAACTTGCCCGAAGAACACTTACTTGACCTCCCAACCAGCCTGGCCATGAGCATCAGTCGAATTGAAACCAGTATGACTGTTTTGTGTGCACTGACAAATCTGTGAGTGAGTAGTATTGGCAGCATTTCCACAGACATACAATGTTCGAAAGCTCCATTTTGCATTGCCAAGCTGGCCTAGCAGCTTGAGTATTTGCTAAGTGAACAGTAGAAGCAAACGAATTCTTTGGAGGTGCTCATGGACATGGAGCCTCTGAAAATGGCTTCCGCTATGGACAAGCTCGCATCAGGGGCAACGGGTGCAAGGCGATACACTGCCGGCGGGGCAGGGGCTGCAAGGGCAAAGGCAAGGGCAAGACCAAAGGCAGGTTGCCACTGACGGATTTGGTGCCAGAACCTTGCAACGAGCAGAAGCTATTTCTGGTGCCTAAGCTGCAACCAAGAGAGTGTGATGTTTGCTTTAGCTATCTTCAGCTTCAACATTAGCAGCTACATGTGTTTTAACTACTTGTTGTGTGAAAATGTTTGAAAGTGCATGATAGTATTATAGAGTTGTCAGCATCAGGCTGGGCTGTGCAATTTGCAATCTATGTTCATTCTTTTGCACCGAGATGCAACACAGCATCGCCCACATGCAACAGATGTTGCAGATGGCCCAGGCACCACTTGTGCAGGTCGTAATCCTACATTTGCGGCGGTTGTCAGATCTTGACTTAGTTGGTAAGGTATGGCAGGTTCCAATTGTGCCGGCAGTTACTGTTGTATTGCATGCCGGAAACCATTTGAGCCAGTGATGGGCCTTTTATCATATTGTATCCTTTGCTAGATTGAGGTTCGGGCCAAACTTCGGCTCTCGATGTTTCAATTGCAAGTCTTGGGTTGACAGAGGTGATCTCCGATGCTTCCGACAGGCAGAGGCCATGCAGACTTATCAAGTGGTATTGCAGGAGCACTCAGCAAGCGGAACAAGTGGCCGCCTCAGTGAAGATTGCGGAGGCGAATTGTGGCCGCCTCAGTTCGCTTTTTAAGAGCAATTTTTTGGCCGTGGGTAGGTAGCCAGTAGCCAGAAGATTCTAGTAGGAAGGAGACCAAAGCGCTTTTGTTCTTTGCATGGTTGTGGTTGTAACGACATGTAACGGCTCGCTAGGTTTTTAGGGAAATTGCGAAGTTTTGATTGCCCATTGCGATCCTTGAGGTCCTGCAGTATCTGCAGTGCCAGCACTGCCTGTTGCAACCATGCCAACTATGCCAACAGTGCAGGTGCGCTTCCGGTTGTGCTGGCGAGTTCCAGCTTTGCTAGTTTGGTTCTGAACGGAAGGTTCCAGAGGCTGCCAGTGTCACATTGGCATACAACCCTTGTGAACACCGGCAGTGACAGCGCATCATGCTGAAGATGGCATTGAAATTTATCATCCAAAAGCTCAACAGACAATATCATAAGCAATCACTGTTCTTTTTTGAATTTGCTTTGCATGGTGCACACTTGTGGCACATGCTTAGTGGCAGCATCCTTGGCAGGAGGACTTCAGGGATGAGAAATTCACCGAGACGGAAAGTGGTGATTGGATACTGGAGTTCAAAGTTCGAAAGGCAACTTGTTTTGCAGCTAGTGTTTGAAGTCGTTTCAATTCAGTCGTTGCTTGCATTTTGTTGGCTCTGCAAGTTTACACAGTTGATAGCATTAAGACTCTTGTGTGACGTGTGGTTTGGAGGCCACGGCGTCGACTGACTTGGGAATGCAGGCAAGGTTGCCTCACGTCCTGGCCAGAGTTTGCATACAATGGCATACAATCGACATGCAATAAGCCAGAAGTACCATGGCGAGTAGAAGGCGGAAGATTGCGGAAGGTTTCTCAGTTTCATATTGATATGAGAAGAGCTTGATTGGTGCCCTCTAGTTGGTCCATCCCTTCTCACAACCTTTTGTTATGCCGGTCTTCGTTGCCTTCGATCCTTTGGTTAGCCTTTATTTGTGAATTTGCTATTTGTTTCGGGAGTCCATAGTGGCCACGGAACGTTGTCATTAGGGGCTGGTACCAATTTACAGATCTATTTGTACTGATTGCTGTTTGTTGTGGTCATTGATGATGGTGCTGGTGCTGGTGCCAGTCTGAGAGTCCGTGTCAATAAGAGGGATTGGCCACGCTGCTGTTTGTTCAGGTCTAATTCCGTCATCCTTTTTTCATATTTTTTCTAATTTGGGATTGGTTACCCCGCCTGCCTTATGCACAAACTTGATATACCCCAAACTTGTCTAACTTTTGCAAGCCTGGTTTGACGAACGCTCACCGAGCGCAAGGTCTCATACCTCCACGGGCGGCCACCGGTGAAGGCTTCAGCTTTTCTTTTTTTGCAACCCTGGCTTTCACAGCAAGGCTTTTTGATAATTAGCAATGTTTTATGATGAGCAACTGAGCATGGAAATTAAGCGAACTTAAACTTGTCGAAAGGAGCACCGGGATCTCCAAGAACCATCAAAAACCTACATGTGGGATGACTTGCGTGGACGGTACCTGGTGAGAGAAGACAAGATGGAGTGAGGAAATGCCAGTGTCAGAGTCAGGAAACCTTTTTGTCAGGGTCTGGAAACCAGTTCACAATAAAGCAACAGCAGGAGCAGGAGGTCACTTTTTGTGGTAGCTGACAGCAAACCAAAGATATCAAAAGATTTTTGGAGCATGCAGTACTCGTAGTACTTTGTGGCAGGCCCAAAGAAATCTGAATGTTTTTCTGACTACCTTATGTTGGGGATTCTTGACATGCAGACATCTTGGACCGGGTTTGAGGAGGTTGAGAGGATGTTTCGACCTAGATCAAGGTGATAAGAGGGTTGACTTTTATCCTCTGTTTCCTCATTTAGTGAGATTCCTGGAAAAGGTTGAGTCAGTTCTGCATGGTGACGGTCCTCGAAGAGGCAACATTCTGTTGGGATTGGTTTATATTGGTCTTCTGTTATTTCGGATTTGTTTAAGTTTAGTGTTTTTTGTGCTTTGCTTAGGGCGGGTTTCTTCCTGCTCTCTTTGAACTTGGTTCAGGTCTTCACTTCTTTAGGATGTCTTGATGCCTTTTTTAGGGTGGTTCAGGTCTTCACTTCTTCGGGGCTTTAGGGTTTCTTTGGGCAGGGCTTAGGGATTGAGTTCTTTAGGGTGTCTTTGGGCTCAGTTTAGGGCTTGGGTTTCTCTGGGCTTGCTTTAGGTCTTAAAATATGTCGGGTTCTATTGGGCTTTGTTTAGGGCTTCACTTCTTTAGCATGTCTTTGCGCTTGCTTTAGGGCGTCCTCTTTTTAGGCTGTCTTGGTACTCCTGTTTTTGTTCAAGGGGCACCCTTTTGGGGCACTCTGTCTCGTGATTCAATACCCATATAATTACGCTGAAAAGGGTACCTCTTTTCTTGAAAAACGCGGGGGTACCTTTCTGGGCACTCCGTCTCCTGACTCAGTACCTGTCTCCTCTGACTAAGTTTCCTGCCATCGAGGTCTCTTGACTCGCGACTACCCTTCTTTTCAAATGTTGAAAAGTTCCGAAGAGCTGAGAGTGCTCAACACTCCTGCATTGTTTTGGCAGGCGAAGCCCATAGTTTTTTATATTTCCTTAGTGTTAGCTGCCTCCCTGCCATTGGAGCTTGCTTCCTCTTGAAGGACATTTGCTGGAGTTTGCACTCGCCTAGTCCCAAATCCAGGCACCACCATCAAGGACTGGCACCTGATCAGTGATTGCAAGACGGTGGTCAGCTCGAGGCTCAGACGAGTCCGCGGCGGCTGGGAGCATGAGATTTAGCATAATTCATTTTGCTGCTTCGTATTTACTGCGAAGCTAGCGGAACAAAGACCCATCATGCTTTTGGCCCACATCCGAAAAAGCAATACAAGCAAGCTTGCGGCCGTATCCAACTGCATGGCAGCACTTGGTATCGCGGTCAGCACTTCACTGCTGCCAGCCTGGGATTGCAGGTTCAGGGATCAAAGACGTACTCACCTGAACCTCCCGCATATGCACCTTCTGTTCTGCTTTTCTCTCCACCTCGACATCGAGGAGGCCATCAACGACTCCGTTTTTTCAATGGAGTGCTGGAGGCCTCTCACTTGCCAAGTTTGACGAGCTCCGCGCCATGCTCATGCACTTGTTGAAACCCATTGGCATCATGACAGACAGTTGGACTGATGGTTGTTGGCATTTCTTGCGCAGTCGCAGCGCTGAGAACAGAAGTGCTGGCATCTTAATCATGATTAGAAAGCACCTGTTGCCATGTACTCATATTGCTAGTCATAGCTTGATTGCAGGAAGACTTGTGCACAATCGCCTTCATCTAGCACAGTGGCAAATCCAGACTGGAGAGTCCCTCTCCACGTGCTTGCTGGTGGGAAGGCCTAGATGGTCTGTTGCGCAAACTGCCCTCACGCAACATTTCTTTGTCTTGGTGACTTTAATGGTTCATTGCCAGTAGTTGCGCACAGTAATGACAAATGCTTTTCGATCACGAAACGGCAAATTGATCAAGGGATCCAAACACGCAGACGCCTCCACATTTGCTGACTTGGTTCGTCGACACAGACGGGTGGCTTTGAATGGCACTCCAGAATGGTCCGCGTGAATCCTGGATTGACTTTGCCGTCACCATGCCAGTAGTTTGTGGTGCCCTGTCCAACAGGCTGTCTATCATGATCATCCTCTAATAGCTAACCACGTCTGCTACCATGTCCCCATTGTTCTTGCATTTCGACAACCCTCTGAATCGAAGACCCTGCGCATCCAGAGGGTCCACTGCAGACAGGCCAGACAGTAGAACAACGAGAACTGGAAAGCGTCCTCGTGGAATCTTGTCTTGATACAAGCAAACCCATCCTTACCACGCATGACCAGCTTAAATCCTGCGTTGTTGAGCACTTCCCAGCCGTGGGTAGACCTCCCTTGCCTTGGGAATATAGTTGTCAGTTGGCTCATTGAAAACGAGCCCTCTGGAGGAAATTTCGCTCGGCTGCATCAACTGCCATTGGTTCTGTTTTATGGCATGGAAACTGTGTACTCAATTCTGCAAGATTCGAGATCACCAGCCAGACACGCACGCCAGGTCAGGCATGACCATGTGGCACGCATCGTGGAGGAAGCATCCATTGCTGCCGCACCATGATAGCTACCGAGATTTTCACCTGCTCAGTCGATTGAGTCCCAAACAGGCCCGTAGAAGGATTAATCTCACAAACATAGAGGTGAGCAAGCGCACGCTTCCCTTGTGGTCCTGGCACGGTCTCGCCAAGTCCGGTCCGAGCCTGTGGACCTGGAGTGCCATTCACGTTCGAAGCATTGCGTCGAGCAATCTCTGCCATCAAGGCTGCGGGCACACCTTTCGCCCCTGCCATTTGTCTTCGTGAGCGCGCAACCCAGATAGCACACTGCTTGTCAATGTGGTGGACTGGATCACAGCGCCCTATATCCCGTCAGTTGGAAACGCGCTTGGCTTCGGGAGGCCAAGCAAGGCGCCATGTAGACCAGATGCACTCAGGCCCTTGGCTCTCAGCGATCCTCTCAAGCATTTCGTTGCTGGGCGTGCTACCCCAGTGGGCCTATCTTTCTCTGAGGGGCGCCAGTGAAGCCTTGGTGAGAGTTAGCGACCACTGGCAAAGGGTGCGGACCTTGAATCGCTGGACCTCCCATCAGGTGATGTAGCAACACTCTGAACTCAAACAATATAAGTGTCCGTGCTGCCAGGCCTGCTTCCAGTCGACCAAATCGTTCCATCAGCGTGTGAAAGGGCACTTCCAGGATATTGCTCTTGCGTCCCTAAATTTGTGTTTTTTGGCGCGATGCTCTGAATGGTTTGCCAACATGCGTTGGCTGGTTGGACGTTTCTCCACATTCACATTGAATTGAGTGTGGATCGTGTACGCTTTCTGGCCAAGCCCACCGCCGCCTCAGTGAGCGTTTGGCTCATCAGTCAAATATCAAGCAGAATGACACCTTGATGGACCACCTTCATAGCAGGTGCCTCTTGTGTAACAAATTCTTGCCAAGGATCCGTTTTGACTTGATTGAACATACGACTCAAACCTATGTCAGAGAGTTTATCGCAAGCGTCACACCTTCATTGAGCTATACTGCTTGGCCACTCGTGGCGCCTATATGGGGACGCCCTGCAGAAGTCCTAAGCAAGGCTTTCATTGCCCGCAACGTCAGCTGTCGTTTCCGAGTGACGTATCTGCGTTTGCGGCGTCGACACGGCGTTCAAACCGACCGCGATCTGGATGTAGTCACCATGGCCCGTGAGCCGCAGATGGATCCGTCGCTACGAACGTGGCTGGGGCTCATCCAACTTTATGATTTTGGAGTATCTCAGCTTGGGCGTCAACCGGACGCCATGTTGAGTGTGATTTTGCAATGCAAGTTTGCAGCCTGGGCAGCTGGCTACCTTGCCGCTTTTCGATAGGTGGAGTGGGGAACACGACCGCAATGCGTTTCAGAATTTGCTTTGTACGTGGTTGAATTGCTGCGACCTGCGGCTGTGAATCACGGGTGGGAGCGTCGCAGAAGGGGTTGCTGTTGCTGACTGCGGCTCCAGATGGGTTCCCATATCGATTGACCAGGTATATCCGAATTGGACTTTAGCTGGCAGTTTTCCTTGAGCGCGCGCTGTGGACTTGTAGGTATGCCTGCCCTACTTCTACTTCATGTTGATCGAGCTCATCCACTTCTGGACCGAACCAGGCGCATTGAGTTGAAGATGTCACTTGGTCATGAGCTGAAGCTACCTGAACTTAGGAGGGGAACTGAGCTGCAGGAGACCACTTTCAACCTCTTGGCCTTCATCGCGCACCATGGCAGCAGTCGGCAGGGCCATTACATTGCTTGCCTTTCGACTCCAGAAGGCTGGCGACAGGCGGACGACGGTGCTCCTCTTGGTGCGCTCATGCAGACTTTGCCACCGGCTGCAAGTGAAGACGCCGTTCTCTTTGTGCTCACAAGGAAGCGCAATGCCCAGAAGATGACTGATGACACACCGGTTTGTGTCGAGACCACTGAGGACACTCAGGATGGCTCGCTTGCTAGGCTGCTGAATTTGCTTTCACAAGTGAATGCACAAGGTGGCTGATGGTTGAGGATCGCTTGACTGAGCCTCACCTGGTCTGAAGGCAGACCTATTGAGTGCTAGTTCTCATGTGGCCATAACATTTCCAGTGTGCTCGAAATGAGCGGCCGCGCAAGGAGATTCAACACTCCGCGTCATGAAAGGTCGAAAAAAGGTCAAAGTTTCCACACCCTAGGTTACAGCGGCCCAAAAGGTTTCCTCGTGAGGCTTCTTGATTCGCAGTGGAGGGGTATGCTTCCTAAGGTGGACACCTTCCCATGCTTTGGACTCCTGATGGGCTTACTATGGTTTATTGACTCCGCTCCTCCTGTTTCCTGCCTCGTTCGGGGCTTCCTGGTTTTGCTCCCGTAGTTTCCTCACTCGGTTTCGTGACTCTGTCATCGTCCAGTACCGAGGAAACCTTGCCTTTGACCATGGACAACTTGGGACACCAACACTCCAAAGTCACGCGGGAAATGGAATGTGTGTTAGAAGCTGGCCTTCGGAACCCTTGCAGACCCTTGGACCCCTGCTATCGACAGGTGCAAAAAGTCCATGACACTGGTGTGATCCCTTCATGGAATCGACTTTGCTTGGGCGACTTCGAGTGTCTCTGGCATTGCTTGAAGAGATTTGTTTGGTTCATTTTGATCCACGAGACGTAAACAACTTTCAGTTTTCACCGTGAGACACAAACATGGCGCTGCAGGCATCGCGCTGTTTGCCCAGGCAGCCTCAAAAGTCAGCTTTCCATGTGCCATTTTTGCATTTTGCTGCAGGTGACCAGATACTTGCGGTGAACGAAGTCTATGATGTGTGGGTGCCTCACGAACGAAAGTCAGTCAATTGTTGCAGACGCGCGAGTGTCCCAAGGCAGCCCATGTTACTTGAGATGAAGGAGAAGAGCCTGCTGACACTCAAGGTTGGGAAAGAGTGCAGCTCAATGAGGTTCCATAATGTGTGATTGAGACCTCAAGAAATCTCAATAGTATTCAATAACTATTACTACCCGAAAGATAAAGGATGAAGTGGCGTGGCAACACAACTTTGGCCGCGCTCAGATTCTTCGGCCATTTGGCTGGAGACCCAGGACAGCCGGAGTGCATGCAAAGTGCAAAGCCTTGCAATGTTGTATGCACAAGTGCAGACAGTATTCAATGTTGTATGCGCGACTGTTATCATGACATTGCACAAAGATCTTGGAGAATCACAATTGAACATCCAGTCCATCTCCAGGGATAGCCAACGGGCCAATGAGCAAACAAGATGGGGGGTTAGGTACTGTTCACAAAGGATAGCTGGACACTACATTGATTCCATCATGTTTGAATGAGATGAGTGTAGCATCCACATGCATCCAGATCGTTTGAAGTTTGAACAAATGATTTGTTGAACTTGCCAAGAGCATAAACTTAGACCGTAATGTTGTCATGATTTTTGCTTCCGGTTTCAGATATTGGCAGGACGGGAACTGCGAACTGAAGGGGACTACGGTAGATTCTCTCTTAGCAGGAGATTGAGGGATGCTCCTGCCCAGGTGAGTCAGACACAGCTGTTTGGCTTTGCTCAGATTTGTGCCTGGGGTTCTGAATCGTTTGAACCTTCGATTTCGCACGACTCAATCGAGAAGTCCGCACGAAAGCACGCCCTGACCTCATGACTGGACACCAACAGCCGGCGGTGTCAATTATGTCTTCTCAGTTGCGCGGCTTTCGACTGCCTAAATTCAATCTGCATGTATGGGGATGTCTTGCCATTCCCACAGGCTTCGTACACACTGCATGGACCCAAGAAGCAGATCTGCCGGCTATGCTTGGCAGATTTGTGACTCCAGGTTGTCAGTTTCGGACCAAACTGGAACCCTGAATCCAGCAGTTCTGATGCAGGTTTTGTTTGGAATCTGGTGATTGTATGAATCAGATGACAACCAATCACTAGACTAGTGTGGGATTTGACTCAAACATGGCCAGCGCGCAATATAGATGATGCTGCAGCTGGCAGTTCAACTCCCTGAGACCAGCTTTTGTACAGTCCTAAAGGACAAGGGAGCGAAGAGGACCTCGAAGACAATGCTTCTTGGGCATCCTTTTGTTTAAGGCAGCGTCCAGTCAGCCTTTGACTTTCTGCAAGTGTTATGAATCACGTAGCTCTTTGTGTGTTGTTGGGGATTTTCCTCAAGCTCCATTTCAGTTATGTGGCCAGATTTCTTAGGTTGTCTTCAAGTGAGAGGCAGCAGTTGGCTAACTGAGGGTTTCAGCAATCGACAATATTGGATTGCAGTGGGTGTTCATCCTTCAGAACTTGTTCGCACTAATGTAAAGTGAGTTCTTTGAATGTGTTTTTTGGTCAAAATTCTTCTGCTGCTGGCTCGTTTGTTGTGACAAGACGACTGCTGTTTGTCTAGCAGTGAGAGCATACAAACATCAAGCTTGCACCTGCATCATTCCATATCATTCCTGTTCATTCAAGATTCAGTATTCCATACTGTGATAAGGGCCTTTGGAGCTTGTCATCTACAGGCGTGGCACTCCACCGGGGAGCGATGACATAGCTCAGGCTGGGAGTATAATAATTCGTTCAGTACTTTCTTCTCGAAGATCGCACTTTCAATACTTCCCTTTAAGTCTTTAAGTTGTCTAATAAAGAAGCTGGACATTTTTCTGTTCGTGAAGTGATCAGAATCTATGCCAAGCAGTGTCGAAGGAACGTGACCGAATTGTCTTTGTCGTGACCAATCTGGTGCTGGATGAGCTCGTAAAAATGAACAGCGCAGGTGCACTGCATTTTTGGTCGTTTTGTTCGACATTTGGGTGTGCAACATTGACCCCGCTTGCCGCATTGAGATGGGCACCATGTGTATGTGAGCGCCAATGAGAGGATATTTACAAACATACTGTACATATCTGTACATATCTGTACATCATACATCTTTGTAGGTACCGAGTGTACATGCCACTGCCACAACCATTCTGTTTGTGTAAGACATCAGGCTCTCAAAGGAAGATTCTCCATCGTTTTGTTTGCAAGTAGTTCATTCTTTTGCTTTGTGTTCCTGTCCAGAGCAAGTTGCACGATGACGCTTTCATCCAAATGTTGTTTTTGTCCAGCATCCCGAAGCTGCTTCAAGTGAGCTTGGCGACCAAATCTCAGTTTTGTGTTGAGTGCTCATTCGACGTATTCAACCAACTCTGAAGAGTCATTCATCGGTGTGCGGTGTGTGTTGTATTCATGACTTTGACGCCACTAGCGGGTGATGCAGTCAACCCGTCATATTGTTTTATGTTGTATATATTCTTGATTATAATATATTATACTCTCAGACATTTAGTCCCATCATTTTGCACAAAATGTCGTAGCTCCTTGTGCTGAAAGCTCTTCGGGAAGTCACATCGGTTTTCATTAATCCATACTGTTTGAGAGGTTTTGAGACATGCGACATGCACATGATCTAGCTAATGCACACGTACTGGGGCCTCGCTTTAAGTCGTATCAACTGGAGGAAAGTCGTATCAAAATGGTGTGCCCTTGGGGATTGGCTTATCTTGTAGGATTCATCACCCCCCTTTTCAAGGTCAACAAGGCTTGAAATTGGAGGTATTGGAGACCAGATCCCTCTTACAAAGGTGGACCAGCTGGAAGGATTTCATGCAGATGGCATGAGAAACAGTTTCACCATGGATCAGTTTTACCATGAAAAGATAAACTAAATAGATTGTTAATGAACGATTTCTGGAACTTTCTGGAGGCAGATGGGCTTGATTAATGGGAGGTTTGTACGAAGGAATATTTTTATTAAGGGTGGTCAACGTGGAAATTTAGGTTTAAACACCCCCGTTGCTACTGGCTATGTAAAATGAGCGTGCTCGACCACGAAAAACTCAATTTTATTTGACGCATTTAGTTTAAGGTTATCTAATGGGTCTTAAATAAAATGGTTGGTAGCGACAGATTTGCAAACTCGTCACATTAGCCAGTTTAGCTGAAAACGGCTTTCAATCTTTGGTTTCCTTTTTGCACTTTTTAGAGAAAATGACTTGTGCAGACCTTTGAAGTGTGAAAGTTATTTTAGGTAACCAATGTTGGTTTAAATGGTGGTGAACCTCACTATCCGGTAGCAACGGTGGTTTTAAATTAGTTCATTATTGGGGCTCGAGCTGGGCTTGATTAATGAGCGGAGGTAGGTTTCTCACTATTCCATTGGTTTACGTTCATTTTCACGTGGGCAACCTTTTCTCTCCAGATGGAGAGAGCTTTTGGGGTTCTTCCTTCGAGTACAGGAAGAGGATGGAAGAGGTGCATGTGTGCGCTTTGGAGCCTTAGTGATGCGGCTGCTAGATGTTCATGGCCGTGTGGGCTTGGGAGCTTGTGCGCTGGTGCCGCTGCAGGGTGCAGCTGCAGGGCAACGCTGGTTTGTTGCTGCTTGCTTTCTGCATTTGTGTGTGTGTGGTTTGCATTGCATTTGTTATCATTTGTTGTGTGTGTCTCTTCAATTTGGTGGCGAAACGTGCAAGCAGTTAAAAGCGCACGGACATCGATAGGAAATGAACGTGGCTCCGATTCAGGGTGGACAGAAACGTTTAGGAAGGAAGGAAAGCCTACTTCATACTTCCCATTGAAAGTTGAAGTATTTTGTAAAGAGGAGTCAACGCAGCGTCTATTTGTGTCTCTCTTCCTCAAAAAGACCGCGTCCTTGCTACTTGTAGTATCTTGCAGGTACTAGTTACTAGTGGTTTCAAGCTACTCAGTTGGTTTGGGGAAGAGGTTTGTCCGATTCTGTGAAAACCTTCCGCCAGGCCAAGGCCAGACGATTTCGATGATGAGAATAGATCCAAACTCGACCATGAACTCTTGCCAGAGGCAGGGCAGATCCAAACAGTTTTTGCCTACCAGTGATCCAAACAAGACATGTACATGGCATCACATTGCGACAGTACAAAGAACAGCCCTTGAAATACGTTGCAAAAGGGGTTTGCAAAGTCTTCCGTCTCGAGGTGGGGTGTCGTGGAACTTCTGGACACAGCTCCACACACAGAGGCATCAAATGCGTTGAACATTTTGAGCAGCACTTGGCGAATTCCGCCTTTGTCGGCACAACTAAGATACGCCGAACCTACTGTGCCGTACTGAACGAACGCCGCCCGCTGTTTTAGAAGCGCTGTACCCATTTGTACCCATGTCAAGTGGTATTTGCAATGAATCGTGTTTCTTTCATCATGTCACATCATGTCATGAGTCATGTACCGATGAAGAAACCATGTGTTTTAGTACTTTTTCTTGCACGCGAAAGTCATGTGTTTTACAGTTTTCTTTCACGTGTCTTCTCCCAAACGTTCCGGAATTTGGTGCCCTATTTTTCGGACCGGTACTACAGGTCATCGATTGGGCATTTCGCTCGTGCACTTCAGCCAGCTGTATGTTTTGGTGAATCCATCGCCATGAAAGTTGTTGTGAAAGCTATGACAAAGTTTTAATGACGACAAAGTTATGATCATCCGATGACGCAGTTGTGATACGGATGACAATGTTGTGATACCGATGGCAATGTCGTGATGCCGATGACAATCTTACAATGTTGTGATATGAATGACAATCTTGTGGAAGCAATCATAAACTGTGATGCTCAACCCCATTGTCCCCCCTCAACCCATATTTAAATCACGAGGACAATGTTGTGAAACCGATGACAATGACACTGTTGTGTTGCTGAAGAACATGTTGCAAAACCAGGGGCCGGTTTCCAATCCATAAACTGAGACTATAATATCACCGGGTTCTTCAAAAACAACAGCCATCAAGTCAGGGGGCAGAAGGACTCTTGGATACCCTTGTACTCTCCTATTTCGATGATGCTGATTGGACCTCTAACTTCTGACATGTACTGACCTGAATGGCAGTGTTTATTTTTTTTTTTAAGAACCCGGTAGCATGGACCTTGCAGGGCTAAAATCTAGCAAATGCACAGCAGAAAAACAACAAGCGGTTCGTAATTGCCCCTCTTGAAGACGACAAAAGATGACAAAAGTGTGGTTGAAAGCTGAAAGGTCGCTTGCTTTTGTGCCTGTTGCATTCTGCTTGCTCACGCGACAGCTCAAGAAGTTGTCCCGCCAGCACGAGCAAGTAGCTAGTGAATTGGGGCCGGGCACCAAATGCTGAATTGGTTGGCACCAGACTCGTTATATGTAAGAAACGGAGTTAGTCTCGAATCCAAAGAAACTGGAACATGAGGATCTCCATGAGCATGGTGCAGCTGCTTGACTTCGCGTTCGGCTACTCAGACTTTGCCCTTCTTGTGCTTTTGGTCCAGGTTGAGAACGTTTGTCAATCAATCCAACGGTCCCTACTTCCTTGAAAAGGAGTGAATTCAGGAGTAAAAAAAAACAAGATGGAACCCACGAACCCGAATGTAAACACGTTCGAAAAACTACATATGTCCAAATGACACTCTTGTAGGACACTCTTGTGGGACACTCTTATAGGACACTCTTGTGGGTCACTCTTGTAGGAAACTCTTGTGGGACACTCTTGTAGGACACTCTTGTGGGACACTCTTATAGGACACTCTTGTGGGACACTCTTGTGGGACACTCTTGTAGGACACTCTTGTGGGACACTCTTGTAGGACACTCTTGTGGAACACTCTTGTGAGACACTCTGTGGGACACTCTTGTGGGTCACTGGCAGGACACTCTTGTGGGACACTCTTACACGACACTCTTGTAGGACACTCTTGTGGGACACTCTTGTAGGACACTCTTGTAGGACACTCTTGTGGGACACTCTTATAGGACACTCTTGTGGGACACTCTTGTTGGACACTCTTGTGGGACACTCTTGTGGGACACTCTTGTGGGACACTCTTGTGAGACACTCTTGTAGGACACTCTTGTGGTGCACTTGCAGGACACTCTTATATAGGACACTCTTATGGGACACTCTTGTGGGACACTCTTGTAGGACACTCTTGTGGGACACTCTTGTAGGACACTCTTGTGGGTCACTCTTGTAGGAAGCTCTTGTGGGACACTCTTGTAGGACACTCTTGTGGGACACTCTTATAGGACACTCTTGTGGGTTACTCTTGTGGGACACTCTTGTAGGACACTCTTGTGGGTCACTTGCAGGACACTCTTGTGAGACACTCTTGTGGGACACTCTTGTAGGACACTCCTGTGGGACACTCTGTGGGACACTCTTGTGGGACACTCTTGTGGGACACTCTTGTAGGACACTCTTGTGGGTCACTCTTGTAGGAAACTCTTGTGGGGCACTCTTGTGGGGCGCTCTTGTGGGACACTCTTGTAGGACACTCGTGTGGGATACTCCTGTAGGACGCTCTTAAGGGACACTCTGGTGAGACACTCTAATGGGACACTGTTGCGGGAGACTCTTGTGGGACACTCTTGGTGCACACACTCTTGTGGGACACTCTTCCAGCTCCCCAGATACTCCGCGTACTAAAGTTGTACTACAAGGTCGCCAGTTCTCACCTTCCACCTCCACAGATTGCTCCGCGTACTGAAGTTGTACTACAAAGTCGCCAGTTCTCAGCTTCCAGCTCCACAGATTGCTCCGCGTACTAAAGTTGTACTACAAAGTCGCCAGTTCTCAGCTTCCAGCTCCACAGATTGCTCCGCGTACTAAAGTCACTCTTGTAGGACACGCTTGTGGGACAGTCTTATAGGACACTCTTGTGGGACGCTCTTGTGGGACACTCTTGTAGGACACTCGTGTGGGATACTCCTGTAGGACACTCTTAAGGGACACTCTTGTGAGACACTCTAATAGGACACTGTTGCGGGACACTCTTGTGGGACACTCTTGGTGCACACACTCTTGTGGGAGGGACACTCTTCCAGCTCCCCAGATACTCCGCGCACTAAAGTTGTACTACAAGGTCGCCAGTCCTCACCTTCCACCTCCACAGATTGCTCCGCGTACTAAAGTTGTACTACAAAGTCGCCAGTTCTCAGCTTCCAGCTCCACAGATTGCTCCGCGTACTGAAGTTGTACTACCAAGTCACCAGTTCTCATCTTCCAGCTCCCCAGATACTCCGCGCACTAAAGTTGTACTACAAAGTCGCCAGTGCTCGCCTGCATTTCGCGCGCTCGACACGCACGATCTCCGCAGAGGGTTGCGCGGGCACCGGACAAATCGCACTCTCGCCTGCATTTCGCGCACTCGACACGCACGGTCTCCGCAGAGGGTGGCGCGGGCGCCGGACAAATCGCACTCTCGCCTGCATTTCGCGCACTCGACGCGCGCGATCTCCGCAGAGGGTTGCGCGCGCATGGGACAAATCGCACTCTCGCCTGCATTTCGCGCACTCGACACGCACGATCTCCGCAGAGGGTTCCGCGCATGGGACAAATCGCACTCTCGCCTGCGTTTCGCACACTCGACACGCACGATCTCCGCAGAGGGTTGCGCGTCAAGTCTCCAAAACGAGCGTTTCGCACGAGACTTCCTCAAAAACTCACACGTCAAAGTCTGCGAAACAAGCGTTTCGTACGAGACTTCCTGCGGAAACACCCATCGGAGCACCCACATAGCCCCGCCCTGCCAAGCAGTTTCGCGATTCCAGCCCCTCCAAACAACATCCGCTCACACGCCAATCCCAATGTGACAGCGACATTCACCTCTACCGCAACTCACAACCTCACGATTCCCTGCGCCTGCCACGAATCTTTCCCCAGCCACACGTCTAACGCGCACAAAGTTCTGCGCCTGCCACGAGATGTCACCTCCCTGACACCTCGCAACCTCACGATTCCCTGCGCCTGCCACGAGAATCGCGCTTCCACGTCTCCAAACCCGCACGAAGTCCTGCGCCTGCCACTAAAAGTGACAATATCATCGCATCTGAGCTTCAACAAAATTTGCGCCACACCACACGTTTGGAATGATTTCGACCCGTTCAGAGCACACTCCCATCCACCAAGATCGCCATTTCAGCTGAGACTTGTCACGAAAACCGAGCTTCGAGGCCATCTCCAAACGCTAATCTCAATGGAACTGCGCAGTAATCTGCGGATCTCACACAACGCTGCGCCTGTGCAGCGAAATGCATCGTGTTTCTTGCGCGACATGTCATTGTCATGCAAATCACGATGGAATAGCGGCGCAAACTGACACGTGACACATCCATGAAAAGTCACTTGCAAAAGCTTCCCCCAATGGCAGCAAATTTGAGACGCGACGACGACGACAAACGACGACAGACGACGACAAACGACGACACGACGCAAGCCATGCAAACACAGCTCCAACCCCCAGACCCCCAACTATAAACGGGAACCCTTCGCTACGCATTCGGGAATAATTCTTGAGTTAATTCTTTAGGACCCTATACGTTTCAACGGCCTGTTGACTTGAGTTACCTCTGGAGGTACTTCTTTTTCAGCCGTGGGCATGTCTAGGAATTAACTCCTGATTTAATTCTTTTTGAAGCCCGTCCACACGTGGGCGGATTTAACTCGAGAGTTTATTCTTTTTCATGTGGGTTTCCACGCCTGGAAAATAGTTAACTCAGTTAATTCTCCAGAATGGTGTTAGGAAGAATGCTGTTCATAATTGTTCTCCCCACACTGTTTGGGGTCGCTTGTCGGAGTTAGTTATAGTCATAGTTAATTCCTGAATTCACTCCATTTCATGATCTGGTTGTTTTGTTAATGTGACCTGGAAGTAATCTAGAAAGCTAGTTGCCGTGTCGGTCCGGTTGTGTTGAAAAGCTGGCTTACTCTTTAGAAGTTTTGGTTGATCAGATGGCTCTGGTGGCTGCACAACCCCGAACCAAGCTACGGCTAGCAACCTTACCACAAACAAGCGAAAACTACGCTAGTGTGGGGCAAGGTCCCAGCCCATTCAAAAAGAATTACATCAAGAGTTCATGCTTATATTGCGTTGGTGCCAAAAATTTGCCAAATACGATGGCTCAACTTGCGAGTTAGTTCTTTTCAGTGCGCATGTTGAAGGGGTCGATGCTAAGGAACTAACACAGGAGTTCATTCTAACTATACTAACTCCTGGATTCATGCTCTTCCTACTTCCTTCAACAGTTGGAGAATGTTGGAAGAAGAGGTGCCACGGCAACTGATTGCTCCAAGGTCTCTTTGGGACGCCAACATTGAAGTAGGAGGTTATGGGCTCAATTCTCACTGAGTTGCAGATCGGGGTTGCGACGTTCGGTCAAGAAGCCAAGGTCGAGTTCTGTTTGTAGCCGCTGATGAGGAGCGAACCCACAGCAGACAAAAGTTTGAATAACGTAGCTTCTTTTGCAAACCCAATACGCTAGCCGCTAGGCCAATACTTGACTCAAACAGATCTGCTGCAAAAACAAAGAACGAGTGCAGAGCCAAAGCATGCGCCGAAAGATGAAATAATGGCAGAGACTACATTTGTTTTCTGGAGCCAACAAAGCACATCCACATACAGAATTCATGAATACACACTTTTGATCAGGTTCAGTTCCCGTTTGTGTTATCATTTGTTGCTTTGTTTTTGTTGAACGGTGATCAAGGATCAACGTGTACGACATAGTCACACTTTGGCATTATGTATAAAAGTGTTCCTCCTGATTCTTTCCGATCTCTCATAGCCGGGAGGCGATGTATCAGTTCAGCAGCAGGGCATGCCCAGCACAGTGCCTTGCTCCATGTAGACGCAATCGACAAGCGCTGCTGCATGCCAGTGCATACCTTCAAAACCACAGTGGCTGCTTGGAAATTAAGTAGAACACTTTGGACCTTGCCAAGGCGCGGGCTTTCGGTGGCTTTGCCCTCATAGCTTTGCAACGTGATTACTGAGAGCAAGAAATATTCAACTTGAATGCTGAAATCCTCATGTGCAACAGTGTGAGGTCCACTTGCCCGAGCTGGAAGAGAGGCACGTCAAAAGGATTAATTAGTCTATACATGTCGAATCGTATTAGTTTATGAGGCAAATGATCAGAGGAAGCTGCAGAAGCTGAATGTTTTGGACCTTATTTGGCCTGCATTTGTTTCACATGTCCAGGTTTGCCCAAGACGATCATCACGGGGGGCGGCAGCTGACTCTGGCAGCTGCCAAGGCAGAACTCCCGCACACAGCCGGTCCCATTTCGGATCATGGCCACTGTGGGGATTTGAATGTTGCCGAAGCAGAGACACAGGGAACGTTGTCATGTAGGCTGGCCACTGTAATGCCATCTTGGATGCCAATGTGCTGCTCCATCCTCAAAGTGCTTCACCCTGAGACAGGCTAAGTTCTGTGCTGCTTGCTGTGATTCAGGTCTGCCATAGCGGATCAGTTGACGCACAAGGATGCAGGCATGCGGTGAATCATTTGAAATGCAATGTTGATTTGTAAAAGGTTCAGGTTCCTTTAATTGCTGACCCCAAATACGTCACTGTGCGGCGTTCACTGTGCAGATCGATGAGGTGTAGAGTGCTTCACAACCAATAATTAGCCTCAATGAGACATTTCAAGAGTGCTTCATATTCCCTAGTTAGAAAAACATGGAATCGCGGTTGCAAAGTTTCCTATAAATAGAATAGAATACATAGAAGAAAAAACAAGGTACGGGTCCGGGACTCTTAAGGAAGGTACCCTTATCATTAAGGCTCAGGCTTCTTCAAGGCTGAGCCGTAGCCTGCGTCCAGTAGCCACTTAAGCTACTAGTAGCTTGCTAAGCTACTCTTATGGCCTCCCCCCACGGGGGCATTAAAGTAAAAACCGTCTTGTCCTTCTTCTTCGTTTAATGATTATATAATGTTCCAATCGACCAGGCACCAGGGACTCGGGCGCGCCGCTGCAGCGTCTCAAAGCAGAGCTGCAAGAGGCTGGCCTTGAAAGACTAACTAACCGTTAACGAGGTGGAGTCATGCTGGGCGACTCTTACTTTTTCAAACTATGGCCAAATGTAGATGTATAATGATGTAATATGATGTAATTACAGTATATATACAGTATAGAGTCCTTCCATTCGACTTGACATGTCCCTTCGAGCTGGAAGAGGGTTCTTGACGTTTTACATTGCACTTTGATTCCAATATCATATATCCATTTGTTTGGGCAAGAGCTAGACATACATTGTGCTCGTGAGAGAGAGGGGGGGGATTCTTCAGATAACTCTCAGTCCATGAGATTGCATTGGTTCGTCACAAGGCGCTTGCTCTCTTGGGTGCCGCCAAGCAGCGAGGGCGCCCAGTCATGGCGCTATATATACTGAGCAAAATTGGTGAAACTTTGAACTTGAGCTTCTTGTTACTGGTAGTAAGGCCAGGAGCTACTAGTAGCGTCCTTGCTCCTAGTAGCGATGCCCTTTGCTCCTAGTAGCTTCTTGTTACTAGGCGAATCGGCTCAGCTGATTCTAACCTAGTTTGTGCTCCTCAGCTCAGCTCCGCTCAATCCGACCGACCCGATCCTTTCAGCCACACTGACTTGAGCCATTCCCAAGACCATCGTTTCAGTATGTCAACCCAAGTTTTGCACCAAAAACAAACCTCTTGGATCATGGAGCAGACCTTGAATCTTGCTGAGTTTCTGGCACTCAATCCTAGTTGAAGGGTTTTGTTTACTAGCACTTTGTTTCTTTGCCCGTCCCATGCTGGCTGCCTTGGCATTGCAACATGCCAGGTGGGCGTTGCTGAACCGCTTGAGTAGCAAAATTATCAAAGTAGCATTTGCACATGCATTGCTGAGAACGCTTTCCTTCATAGTGTGAATGAGCTTTGCTGTATAAAGGAGTGACCCTTCATCATCCTTCACCAGTTACGAGTCAGTGCACTATGTTGCCACCAGTGCACGAGCAATCATCCACAGGACAGTACAGGTACCGGCCAAACAGCGCGTCCGCTTCTCCAGGCGAGACATACATTTCACTTGTCAGTCTTTCGTCAAGGCTTTTTGAAGAAAATGCATGTGTGTTTGTGAAGCATGTTCTACTGGAAGGCTGCTGGCGCCTGGACGAGGCAAGGGGACTGGAGCTGTTTGTAGGCAGACACTTCTTCTAGGATGAACTATTTATTCTTGGAATATATAGTCCGGAAATGTCTACATAGACTCTAGAGTGTTCTTCATGTCGACCGGCCTATTGTGCTTCATGATTCATTAGTGTTAAGCTTCCAGGTGTTTCAAATGGTGCTCAGCTTGGGTCAGTAACCTTGGCACCTCGCTATGCGTGGAATTCTTTTGAGCTGTGCATCCTATTTCGCCTGCTTTCGCGATGATATACGGAACATAATATGCATGTTGCAAACCTACATTGTGGGGTCCTTCCAGCCTGAGCTACAAGCTGAGATTACTTTTGCTCATGAGCGAGGGTAAAGCCAAACCGTGCGTTAAGGAGGATGCAATCTTACTGGCAATGGTTTTCACTATTGAGCTTGTTTGACAAGTGAAGAGAACAACAGTTCAATAGCAAGATCTAGGACTGGTGTGGCAGGTCCGGGTCCATACTATGCACGGCCTAAACAGCCTCGCAAAGGGCAAACAGGAGGGACCGCGAGCGTTCTGATCAATTTCGTTCCTCAAAATCAGGCTGGAACCATCAACAGATCCAACGCCAAGGCAAAGCGAACCAAAGATAACCAAAGCAATGTCAACCTGCTCCAAATGGACCAAATGATCCAAGAGAAAGATCCAATTTGGGGCGTCCAAAGTCTCAGCTTCAGAAACAGCTGGATCGACACGATTGCTTCGATCAAGATAGCCAAGGCAGCTATTGCGAGCAGATCTCACCGCGCAAAGGCTGATCGTTTGAGTAAGAACGCACCAGATCTGACATTTGAGACATTCACAGTTCCGGGTGTAAGGTATGTGGGTCTTGGCTGTGAGAAATCCTGGCTCATGTCAGGCCAATGCTACCGTTGCGACATCCCGCGTGCGGGAGAGTGGCATGCCAGTTGCATCTTGCCTGATCTTGAGTGCTTCAACTTTTTGATTCAGAAGCTCCTTGGAATTTGGATCTTGTCGTTGAACTGTTATGCAGATCGGCTGGTGGGAGCAGCTGGTGAGTCCGATGTCCACGCCCCTTCGCAGCACTATTGTGGCTTTGTACTGTGTCCGAAAGACAAGGGTATACGGTATTCACATGTGTTCATGGTTTGAAGATAAGTCCCAGACTTGCCTTTGTGTTCACTTTTTGAAGGCTGGATAATCTTGGATTTGCAAGTGGCAAACATCAGACTGTTGTGGAATTCGGCTGCGGGTACGGAACTTTTACTATACCAGCATCTTGGATGAAGAGGTGTTCGCAGAAACTGAAATTGAAGCCGTCCATTTCAATGTGTCAAAGTTGGTTAGGTAGCCGAACGTGTCAACAAGCTCTACAGCTTTGATATTGACCAGCAAATGGTGAACAACACCAGCAAGCGTTCCTGGGCAAGGTGCAGTGAGTCTCAGCTTGCTTCGGAAGGTAAGTCATATTTAGTAGTTTCATGTAGTTTCTATCATACAGTTTTCACCGGCCCTCCACTCTTTTCGGGCACTACAAGTACTTGTACGTACAAGGAACTTGCTGCCACGGAAGTTGCGCTTTGAGACAAGGCATTGGTGCAGAGTGCTCGCATTTGGAGCAGCGGGTGAGACTAGAGGTGAGAAGCCACAACAATTCAGGAATAGTGAAGAGATGTGAAGAGTGAAGATGCTCAAAGGTTATGGGTCTATGCTATGAGTGACTGAGTGAGGTTCTTGCAATCTCTGCGGTTTCTTGAAGCCTGATCAGACGGTCGACATGTCGACATTTTTGTGACTCTGAGAGGTGAGAGATGTCGTAGCCACCGGCTACGGTTTGGACACATCGGTTGATGCTGTCCTGCTGATGAACATCTTGCACTGCGAAGCCCTTTGCCTAAGTTGTGTCTTTGGAGTCACAGGAACAGGAGAGATCAAAAGGCACTTTCCCTCTATGTTTGCCTTCAATTTCGTGCCTATTTGGGCACCTGTGTAATTATGAGCTAAAGACAGTCGAACATAGTTGAACAAAACTCAATCGTTAATGAAACTGTTGATTCTTGCCGTGGACGGCCCAGTGAAGCACAAACTGCAAATTCTTTAAGAGCGATGGCCTCCACCGTAGTAGCAATTGCCTCCACCCTTCTAGCGATGGTCTCCAACCCTTTTGGATTTCTGTGTCTATGCGTGGGGCACATTTGAAAGCAATCAGACCGCTTCTTGAAAAACCAGATCCATGCACGTTGTCTTTTTATGCCCTTGTAGCAAAAGTTTGGTTGCGGTATGGCTATAGCTGTCAGGCACCCGTGCAAATGCTGGAGCAGGCGGCAGACTTGCTGAAATTGGGTGGCCTAATATATGCAACCCATTGGAGGCCATGTCAGTAAACGCAAGATACACAGAGTCCAGTTTGCAGAGGTTTTGGTTGAACAATCAGTGGCACGTGACCCAGTGACTTTATTTGTATGTACTACATTTATGTAAGAGCCTAGCAGTCCAACGGCTTCGATAATGATCAAACAAGATGCGAAAATGCAGTAATGTGGAGTAATCAATGTTCAATTCGAAGTAACTGGCATGAGAAGAGAGGTGTTTCATGAATAAATAAACATAAATAAACATAATGCTTTACACAAATTCCGAGTTCAGCATTTTCCTGGTAGGTATGATCCGTCAACTCCACGTGGTCCACCAATGGACATTCGTCCACGTGCTGCTCTCGGCTTTTTCGGGGTTCTCAAGTATAACATATGTAATATGTACTGTATATATATATAGTCACATAGTCGTTCTGTGCTTGTCAATTGTGTTTATTCATTACATTCATGACACTTCCTAATGCGTTTAACTTCAGAAACTTGCAGGCCCTGAGCAGCTGGAAGAATGGGTTGTCAAAACCGGTTTGTTGGAGGTGGGGGATGTAGGCAGAAGTTGGACACAGAATGAACAAAACAAAGGAAGGAGTTGAAGGGTTCAAGAAGAAGAGATGAAGCTCTTACCTTCAAATTTGCGAATCTCTGTAGACCCAAAGAAACGTTGCAGAAAGTCGCCACTTGCAAGGTTGCACAGGGCCCCATTGACTGTCCACCATGGCATTATGGCTACACCTTCCGCCGGACCAGATAAGGGGCTGGCACAAATTTTCTTGCACGCCTCCCAAATGGTTGGCTGTGCATGCACCGGTGGCACCAGTGGCCGTTTTCCAAGGTGGTCATTTGACAGAAAAGCGTCGTGCGACCTTAGAAGTGTTATATTTGTTCGTGTGGGAGGGCCATCTATGCTTTTGGACCGAGCTGTGACTGGATTGAAGGCAAGGTAGAGAACAGCGTTTCGAAAATAGCAAGAACACCACCAGCAAAGTAGGCATGTAATTTTACGTCGAAGGGAGCATGACTTCACCAACCTCAAAGATACAGCATGACCAGGATTATCATCAACAGCAATCTGAGTGTCAATAAGGTTTGCCACAGTTTTTCTGTAGAACTACAGAGATGAACAGATGTATTGTTTGAAGGTGTTTGAAGAATGTTTGCCTATGCCAGGATGCTTGCTCCCCCTGGTGGAACGCGCGATGCAGAGGCATGTGTATGATTATGGTACTTGGTAGCAGCTTGCAATGCTCACTCTGAAACAACCATTTGTAGTGTCACACTGCCACAATTGGCAATGATTAAACTCGCTGATACTCGTTCACTTTCGTGTGACAGGTGAGTGCTTGCCTTGAAAGCATCCATATGGCTGAGAGACGATGGTCCCAAATGCTGTCACGATAGGTACGGGTCTGAGAACTGAAAAGAAAAGCCGGTACAGAGATGACTCGATGAAAAGAAAGCTCAATTCTATGATGGCATAAGTCTTCAAAAAAGTGGCTCAAAGTTTGGGACTTTGACAGATTGGCTAGATGGCAGGTTGGCTAGATCGTTGGCTAGTGCAATGGTCCTTTGACATTTTTTGTGGGTTTGCCTACGGACTTTATGGAAAAACGGAGGTGCTTCAGCGTCCAAATTGGAGTTCGATCTCAGAGTTGGAACCCCAACACCGCCCACCTTAGGTATGCTAGCGAAGGATGAAGGCGTGAGGAAAAGAGCGATTCATGAGCTCTCAAAGGGACAGTAATCAGATCAAGCTGGCCACTGATTGGGTAAGTCGGAAGTCGCAGTGAATGTCAGGGAATGAACTGCATGCAAAATTCAAGGGGCAGACGGGCTTGTGGGTACAGTATGGCCTTTCTCCAGCACAAGAACCATGAAACAGTGAAAAAGGATGATGTCGCTGCGTTTTGGCCCATTTTATGTACTAAATGAGACATCAACTGGAAGGTGCCAACGCTGAAACTCTACTGGGACTGCGTTGCGCTACAGTTCTTCAGAGTTGGCTGGCTTTTTGGAAGCGGAACAGTGGAACACATTATATAGTTGGAAAAAGCTTCAACTGAGATACGCATAGACAACTTTATGACAACTTCACTTGTTTGAGCCTTTTTGGCTTTAACATACCTCGGGGCTCCCCTGATGGCCATGGTTTGTGTCCTGGGGAAGGCCAGATATTTTATTGCCAAAGCATTTGCAGTCGTTTGCACATGAGAATTAATGAATAAAGTGAACAGTAGTCGGGTAGATATTGTAGATCTAGCTTATCGGCGGGAGAGGGATGGTGTTTGAAAAAAATAGTGATCGATTAAAACACACATACGGTCAACTAAACATATATATATATATAGGGATCAAGAGAAAAGAACAAACAGGCATAACAAGAAACAATACTTATATACGGTAGAAGAAAGAAGAAAGAAAGAAAGAAAGACATAAATAAAGAAAGAAAAAACAATAAAGAGAGAAAGAACAAAAGAAAGATGCTAGAAAGGGAATAATTTCCAGCCAGAGCACTGCTTACATGTGCTGCTTACAAGACGCATTAATAAAGGCAAACTTTAGGTGAAAGCCAGGGGCCATTCCATTCCAAGGTAGCAGACCTTTTGTGAGGCACCCGAGGGCAAAACTTAGAGGAGGAAGGGATCATTCCAAGGCAGCAGGCCTTTTTGTGAGCCAGCTGAGGGTAAAACTAAGAGGAGGAAGGAGCCATTCGAAGGTAGCAGACCTTTTGTGAACCTGAGAAGGGGAAGGGGTCATGGCGTGGGCAAGTGAGTCAATTTGTATGTGTGCAAGTGAGCTTTTGGACATGGCCTCTTCAGAAGTAAGCAGGCGGGGGCGCACTGACGACATCGCTTGTTAAGTGAGGTGAGTCTTGCGCGCGCCACTGAGTTGCGGGCCAACACCACCAAAATTGAGAGAAGCAAAAAACAAGACCGCCAAGACACAAGCAACCGCACAGAGAAATATCCAAGCTCCCTTCCCCCAAACTCCTTCCAGCGCCGCGAAACAGTGTCAGCCATGCAGGTCAAATTTAGAGAAGGGCCAGTCCCACGTACCGTACATTTTCTCAGCCAGGGGCCATTCCAATGTAGCACGCCCTTTGTGAGATGAGCCATTCCAATGTAGATGAGATAACCTTCCTTCCGAATCCTTCCTTCCCTTCCCTTCCCTGCCCTGCCCTTCCCTTCCCTTCATTTCCCTTCCGTTCCCTTCCCTTCCCTTCCCCTTCCTTCCTTCCTTCCTTCCTTCCTTTCCTTTGCAGTGGGCAGCCTTGGACTTCAACCGCAAGCGCCAGATCCCAGTGGCAATAATTACCGGACCTCAACAGCAAGCGCCCGATCGCAGTGGGCAGTCTTGGACTACAACGGCAAGTGCCAGATCGCGGTCGGCAGCGCCGGACCTCAAAAGTGAGCGCCAGGCCGCAGTGGGTCGGCCGGCACAGCCACAACGTCTCTCAGGGCTTCCGCCCCGGGGACTTCGATAGATGCGCCGCACTTTGCAAGAAGAGCTTCGAAAGGAATGATACAACCATAGGCCCCAAACGATTTCTTGGTACGCCGTACCTTCACCCCAAGAGCAAACTGCTTCATCAATGAATTTTTGTCGGCATTGACATCGCTATTTGTTCGGCCACACTCCTCTCCAGTAAGCCGGGCCACAGAGACCAGCACAGAGTTCAGGTGCGCGGCCAAGACAAGGACAAGAGGAGGACAAGACCCGGACACAGAGCCGGGCCACAGAGCCCAGCCACAGGGGCGCGGCCAAGACAAGGACAAGAAGAGGACAAGGCCTGGACACAGAGCCCAGCCACAGAGGACAAGAGGAGGACAAGGCCTGGACACAGAGCCCAGCCGCCACAGAGGACAAGAGGACAAGGCCTGGACACAGAGCCCAGCCACAGGAGGACAAGGCCCGGACATAGAAGGCCCCCATTTGGGGAAAAACATCTTGCAGAAAGTCTTCGCTCTGCCCGTGCAGTCTGCTCACTATGAGCAGCTCATCAGAAGCATTGACAATGGGGACACACACACACACAAAATCACACGCTTGGGCCAACTACTGAGAGCGTGAGAAGGTCCACCGCGCCGCGGAACCGCCACGCACCTTCCAGAAAGAGATCCAAAACTTAAGTGCTTGCTCTGCCGCTCAGTCTTTTCCAGCGGCGGTTGGCAACCTGTCTGGTTGCGTCCTTTGACGCTCTTGCAGAACTTTGTCCCCAATTTGGCTGGGGTGGGTTCGGGTGCCCTGTGCCAAAACGTGCTGAAACGCCGCCCACACTGAAGTCTAAGTTACACAAGTCTAACCTCCATCTTAAGTGCTGCTGCCTTGGAAGTCAACCGCAAGCGCTAGATCGCAGTCAGCCCGATCGCAGTGGGCGGTCTCGGACCTCAATGCTACCACTACTACTAATATATAACAGCAATAGCAACAATAGTAACAACAATAATAGCACCACCACCCCCACCACCACCACCACCAACACACACACAACACACACACAACACACACACACAACACACACAACACACACACAACACACACACAACAACGCACAACAACACACAACAACACACACACAACAACAACAACAACAACAACAACAACAACAACAACAACAACAAC